CTGAGCTAAATCCCCAGCCCCAAAATAAAACATTTTTAAAAGAGTTATACACGACTCTTTATCAGTCTTGAATTCATACTCACCCATTCCTTTTGGTTATTGCCCTAGCCCAGTGACGGCGAACCTATGGCATGAGTGTCAGGCAGAGCTCTCTCTGCCAGCACGCAAGCCAAGTCACCCCAGCAGCTGGGCATCGACAACAGCACAGAAAAGCACACTAAATGCAAACTTTTGCCTTTCAATAAAAAGCTGCTTATATTATTGAAAGTTCGATTAGTGTTTTTCTTTCAACACAGAAGAAGTTAATGTAGGAGTTGTTTTTCCTGAACTAAAACCTCAGGGTTTAAGTTTAGTTGCAGTGTTGGCACTTTGCGATAAATAAGTGGTGTTGGGTTGCAGTTGGGGCACTCGTCTAAAAGGTCTTCCAGCACTGCCCTAGCTCATCACAAAGGCCAATTTTTATTTTCTAAATACAAATTGTGGATGGGAATTGGAGGGGACAGGGAGGCAGTCCCACTCACAAAGTCTTACAAGAGCAATGTCTGGCACCCAATTCAAGGTGCTGCCACACAGAAAAATGCACAAAATGAAGAAAAATGTTGAGGCAGGAGCTGTGAGGTTGTTTAGAATAGGTTATACAGCTCCTAAAAAACCTGTTAATTTGGTAAAAAAAAAAAAAAAATCTAACCACTCTGTTGCAGCATACAAATATAGATGCATATTTTCTTTTCTTTTTATTTTGTTTTACTTCTGAAGAGTTTTTGGCCTGGCACAGAAAAACTCCTAGGAAAGAGGTGATTGTGTTGATTACTGGCATGCAGCAAGCACATGTGTGGTCTCTTAGCACAATTATCCCAAGGCTGTGCCTCAATGACCGGGATCTGCCCTAGGATTCTTCTCTAAGGAAGGGTCTTGGCCTGCCTCTCCCTCACTACCTCCCAGTTCCCTCCAATTCCTTCTTCTGCCTGGTCCTCTCCCACCTGTCTGCCTGACAGTTATGTTTCTCAGCTCCTCACCGGGCATCTGAGAAGCTGAGGGTCCTGCAGAAGGAAAACCCGAGCCCTGGCCCTGGCCCTGGCCCTGGGGAGCCTGGGCTGGGGCCGGAAAGGCAATAGAAATGTGTAAGTGCTAAGTGCTACTCAATTCCTGTTTGCCTGGGATGAACCATGTTTATCCGGAGACAACTTGTCCTAAACTTACCCCTTCCTAATCATCAGTTTTGTTACATTAGGATTAGAGACAAGTTTTGCTTAGAAATAACTACAAGAACAGTTTTTATATTTCATTTGCACTTGGAAAACCAGTCAGATTTGCTTCAGCCTCAAACAACACATTTGCATAAAATTAAACGAATGCTGTTAACCAGCCCTCCCACCCCCCATGGGAATAGGAAGAACTGCCATTTTAAATTCTGGACTTTTGGGGCCTTTCAGGTAATATCCTTCATTAATTCCCCTCAGCACCAGACCTCGGAAAGTCCAGTTTAAGAACAGCTGGGCACAGAACCTGCCAGGGACTTTTCCCCAGCGTGCTGTCGCTGGGAGCGCGAAGGCAAGCAAACGGGACGCCGTCATTAGTGGGCTCCTACCCGAGGACACTGGGGGAGTGCAGAGGTGCCCCGGGAGGGACACTGGAGATAAGGGAGGTGCACTGGTGGCGGCATCGTTTGCTTCTGGTACGTTCAGTAGGCAGGAGGTCAGAGAATGGATGGAGTATCAGAAGGAAGGGACAGAACAGGCAGAGAAGGGAAGCTTGTAGGTGGAAAAAGAAAAGAGGCATAAAAAGACACAAACGATGCACTCTTCAGACGGTAAACATTTGTTTGATTTTCAAAATCTTCGCAATTAAAAGCTATAATATAAGACACTCCATTAATCTGGTACCGTTGTTCTTTTTCCCCCTCCTCAAGTAGGCTGGTGGCCAGTGCTGGGACCGATACCCCGACTTGCTGCCTCTGAGGCACAGTGTTCAAGGCAGCCTGGGCCAGGAGCCCTGCGGGGCATTTACGGCTCAGACGGCTGGGCACTGAGGCTGGGATCCTCCCCTTCCTATACAGATCTACCCTTTGGAAAGCTACTCATCCCCTTGTTGACGCACAGAAAAGCAGTTCTTTCTGACCATGTCCTGTAGAAATAAGGCACAAGGCACAGCCCACGGGCGCGTATTAGTGCACACTCCATTCCTCCGCGCGGGCGGCCCCACTGCCCCCGACGGGAGGGAATCTGCGCAGCCCTGGCTCCCCGCGCCCCGCGCCCAGGTCTGAGCCGCTCCGTGCGCGCCTGGCGTCCGGCCCCCAGCCCGCGGCCCCAGACCTCGCCAGCGCCCTCCCGCACAGGGGCAGCGTTCCGCCCGCCCTCTCCGCGTCCCCCGGTCCTACCTGGCGCCCCCGCCCAGGCTCCCTCGGCTCCCCGCGAGGATGGGCTGAGCTCAGGACGGCCGCGCCGACCTCGCGCTCTCGGAGAGGCGCATCCC